CCTGTTTCTTTGCAGACTTGCTACGTCCATGCAAAATTCTCCTTGGCCTGTTATTTTGGGGAACAGGCTCCCTTGCTTCCAGGGAGACTTCCTGGCACCTCTGCTGGAAGAGAAAGCTGTTCCCAGCTTCCTGTCTCAGTGCAACCTTTCCTCTGGTCTCTCCCCCATTTGCCTGAGTGGAGATTCCGAGGGAATCTCTTGCCCCTTTCCAGCAATGCCTCCTTCCTAGATCTGCAACAGAGACTGGAAATTTCTTTCTGCCTGGGCATCTGGACCGTTTTATAGTGAATTTAGGTTGGGCAGCAGAAGACCTCAGCCAGGCCATCCTTTTCGGAAAAGGGGGACATGTGGGTAAAATGGAATCGGTATGGTCTGGCTGAGTGGGCTGCTCCCCGCTGACTACAAGGGCCACCACACAGAAGGCCCCGTGCACAGTAATGGATATTTCTGGCGAGCAGTGCCCATGTGGCTCCACGCCAGGCCTGGGCAAGATCAAATGGATCACCAGACAGTGCTGAGAAGGGCTGAGAATGAACACATTGCAGAAACATGACTGCTCTTTGTGGCATAGAAATGCCAACATTTCATTTCAAAAACGCTGGCATGCAGTTGGAAACCAGCAGCAGGTCCATCAAGAAGGAGGTGTCCAGGCTGATAGAAAGCAGCAGAATGGGGAGTATGTATATCAGGCGGGTTCCTAGAGCGTTTATATCAGCTGACTTCCTAGAGAGATTTTCAACAGCATGAAAGTCCCTATAGAAACGTGCAGCCGTTCACAGCACTGAGCAAAAGCCCCCATGACACAAATATCACAACATCGGTTATTTCAGTCCAAAGGAAGAAAGGACGGTGTCTTCTTCCATTTCACGCAATTCGTACCCAACCCTGTACTGTCAGCTTGCCTGGGGAACATCTCTTCAGAGGCTCAGGCAGAAATCTGCCCCATTACCTGCCCCCTAGTATCTTTTATTGAAGCTGCCAGGAATGGAAACCCTTGCAAGCAGGTGCTCTACCTCTGAGATAGCGTCTCTCCCCATGGCAGCTTCCAGGAACCTTCATACGAGGCAACAGGAGGATACCGCAGGGGAAGGAGACTCTGGCTGGCTCCGAAGAGATGCTCATTTGTGCCTAATCAAAGCTCTACAGTGAGAATTCTAATTAACCGACTAAATGTGGTATAAGCTAAAGAGCAGAGATATGGAGCAAATGAAGATGGGCTGTTGTGCTCCATCAACATCTTTAAGAGCTTGCACTAAGGAATGCTAATGAGTGTGGAATGAAAATCAATAATGAAAACAATATTGTATAATAGGCTTCACTAGATGCTGGTTGATTGCCAGCGTGGGTTGTTTGGGAAAGGAAGAAGGATTTTGTACAGGATACACCAGCATTAATTGGATTCTGTCCATCTAAATAGTGGGGGAGGGGGGCTTAAAACAGGGCAGCAGTAAAGGGCACTGTCTAAACACTGGGCCCTGAGTGTAAATGCCTCAATTCTTACAGTAGCCTCTTACATTATCAAGAGGATGAAGGACTCTGCAGTGGTCTAGTCTTGTCCATATATTTGACAGATTATAGACCATGGCCAATCAAACTGACTCCACAGCTTCATGTCATAATTGCATGACTCGATTCCTGATTGATTATTTGCCTGATATTTATTTTATTTATTAGATTTATATCTGCCTTTTTTTACTTTTAAGGAACTAAGAGTAGCTTACTTCATCCTCCTCCTCTTGTTCTCCATCTTATCCCTGCAACAACAACACAGCGAGGTTGGTTGGGCTGAGAGTCTGTGACGGGCCCCAAGTCATCCATTGGACCCATGGCTGAGTCGGGACTGGAATCCCAGTCTCCTGAGTCTGAACCCCACACTCTTAACCAGGGCGCCACCCTGGCCCTCACTGGTGACAAGAATGATCCAAGAAACACTGTTGGCCCTCCTGTTTGGCTGTATTTGTTCTCTGCGGAATCATGATGGAGTGAAACGGGCTTGGAAGGGTTGGCTGTTCAGGGTGTTTATTTGTGTATTAGGATATTTTTATCCCATCCATTATGGTTCATCTAAATCAACCACAAAATAACAGACGACTGAGGACACCAATAAAAGCATAATTAAAATATTAAAACTTTAAAATATTGGGTAAATAAAAAGCTCTTGACCTGGCGCTGAAAAACATATAATGTCGGTGCCAGGCGGAGCTCTCTGGGGAGTGCATTCCATAGATGGGGTGCCACTGCACACAAGGCTCTCCTCTGAGTATGCGCTCTCCTAACCTCCTTCAAGGAGGGTTCCTGGAGCAGGTCCTCTGCTGTAGATCTTAAGGGGTGGGAGGGCATGGAGGGAAAAAGACGTTCTGATAAGTACATAAGAATGAAACAAAACCCATGCTGGATCAGACCAAAGTCCATCTAGTCCAACTCCTGATGCTGTCCATTTCGCTCTTGTGCTATATGAAGGACACATGGGTGGAGAAGGGAGATGGCAGGCATTTAGAGTGACCCTTTTGTTATTGGGAAATATCCAATGGGGAGACCAGTCCCAGCAATGATCTTCAGACAGGACCCAATGCTGCCCGTATGCAAGCAGGGCCATTGGCTCTTCCTTCCTGTGGCTGGCCAGCTCCTCCAGTTCTCTTGCTCAGGTGTTGAGGACCAACAGAGCAGCATTTCCAAAGAAAGAGGAAATGCATGTTTCTGGAATGGGCAGGAGGGCAGGGCTCCCATAAGGGGGTTCTGCTGACCTGTCCCATTCTAGAATCATCCCTTTCCATTCATTTAGGGGCTTGCTCCCAGAGGCCCAGAGTCTCCGTTCCACAAGAGATGGGCACTGATTCAGTGACAGTATTGGCTGGGCACCCAATGGACCTCCTGGAGGATGGGCAGCACTGGATACTGGTCATTATTATGTAGCAGGATTAATGCCCCTAGTACTTTCCAGAGGATCACATGAACATAGGAAAGGGAAGTTTTCTCATTCAAACCATGGCATCATATTGCATAGGCAGCATTTACCCTGATCCATCCATGATCTTAGACCCTGGACCATTTTTAAAATCATTCCCAGTTATATCCCCACCCCCCTGCACTGTTATTAAGGATAGGAAGGATATTTGCTCAATTCACAGTTAAATGCAAACTTATCAAATATTAAAATTCTTAATGGAAACTTAGTTCTTTGTCAAAATGCCCACTGGGTGTAAAAATGGATACTTTAAAGGAACAACAATTGAGCAACAATCCAACAATTAGGGGAAAAATACTCGCAAAGCTGTTTATATTCAGTGAACACTCATCCAAAAAAGCATGTATATTGGAAAAAAGGTTCTTATAAAGTTAACCCTACCTCTACATTTCCAAATTCAGGACAACTTATAACATATAATGAGAGTAATCCTCAGCTGTTGAAATAAACTAAAGCTAAGATTGGGGAAATGAGTAAGTGAAAGAAAATTGGTAGAAATCAATAAGACAGATTTATTTATTTGTTTGTTTGTTTGGGAAACTTGTATTCCCCCATCCCTAACTGTGATCTAAGATCCTTTAAATGGAGAACCTGTGGAAGGGAATCCAGGGCCTTCCTGAGTTGGTGCCCATGACTTCCGTTCAGCCAAACCCCTTCCCCAAACAATGGTTTTTCATGACTCTGTTTCTGTGAACCTTCTAAATCCGGCAGGATTGGCATCGTCTTGCCTCAGGCTGTTCAAATAGTGCCGGAAAGCTTTCCCAGGCCCTGTCCTTGGATCTGGGCAGCTGTATGCTTCTGCTGATTAATGGAGCATCTTTCCCAAACATGTGGCTCAAAGCTCTGTCTCTTTTCTCTGTCTCCTTTCTGGGCCCTTCTGCTCACCTCACAGCTCACTGCCCAACCGAAGCACATGATCCATCACCATAAACACACCGCCTGTCTTGCATTGTTGTTTAATTAAACAACGCAAGTAATTTCAAGCCCTTGTTGCAGCATAAATATTGTCCAATGCTTCAGCTCCATTTAACCTTAACAAGAAAATATGAATAACGAGCCAGGACGTGAAATATACAGCAGAGCAAAATAATCTATACAAATATTAGCTGGTGCTTATTTTCCATCTGACTTCAGGGGGAAGAAAGTGGCTTGCTGCTATGGAGAAAAGTCAACATGATTTTTTAAAATGTGTGTTTATGCAGAGAGAGAGAGATGGGGGGAAACGCTTAGAAGGACCAGTCTGCATTTGAACTGCTGCAGAGAAAAAAGGTCAATTTCCCCCTTCAAGCTCTGTATTTTCTCCATCTGCTCCAAAACCGACTTGTGGAAAAAGCAGTTTTCAAGGGTAGAACTCCCAGTTCCTCCGCACACTGAATGCGTGGACAGACGCAAGCAGGACTCTTCCTGAATGCAGACAGTCTGAAGCCGCAGAGAAGTCTAATGAATTGCGTCTGGTTTCTGCTTGCTTGTTTGTTTGCCTGACGGGAATCTTCCTTCCACCTGCACAGCCGTTGCACTTGGCTGGCCAAGTGACCCATTCTGCAGCCCTTGGAAGGGGTCCGCAGACGCCCCCGTGCCTTGTTTGCCTTCATCCTCTAAGGGGCTTCTGGAGCAATCGCTCTGTCATTTCAAACAGGGAAATCAAATGAATGGAATTTCCTGATCTGTACGTGATCATTGAAGCTTGCGCTGTCTGAGTGAAAATAACCCTGGAGCTGCCTGGCCAACGCCTGGTTGGTTCTCAGAAGGCAGAGTGTAAGATTTGGAGTCCTCAAAGACTGAGGCTGCCGGTGATGCACCATGTAGGAGATATTTGCTCCACTGCCAGCAGAAGCAGAAAGCCATTCAAAGGAAGGCAAGAGATGCCATTTCCCCCAAATTTGCATAATGAGTGTCACAGAATTTCTGTTTTCTTGTCCCAGAATGTAAAGGTGCATTGGCACCGAATGTTGTTTGGGTTTAGCTCCTTTAACTCAGAAAGCATATAATCCTGCCTCTAATATCTATTCTCTTTCTCTTCTCCTCTCCTTCCTAGAGGATGCGTATAAAACGCAAGTACGGATAGATGATGAACCTGCCTATCTCGACATCCTTGACACTGCAGGACAAGTGAGTATTTTCTCTGCTTCAACCATTTGAGGTGCTGTGGAAATTATGAATTTCACAGCTACCCCAGGTTTTTACAAAGCATTAGTGGGAGTGAAAAGGAGCTGGTCCCATGAGTTGCCCCCTCCATCAGAACATGTTCAGACAGGCATGGACGGAGCTGTCAGATTGTGCTTTTCATCATTCTTCATTATTCCAGTTGGAAATACTGAAGAAATTACCAGAGCTTGGAATAAACTAGATTTAAGTTTGAGTTATTACAAAATGTGAGACTGAAGCCAGTTTTCCCTTGCCCACAAAACTCTTTATGTGCCATGAACATGTTTTTTCTGATACAAACTTCTTGGTATGCATTCTAGTTAATATATACTATTTTGCGAGCAAATTTCTTTTGTTATTCTGACTTTTATCATTAAGACATTGCATTTATATCCCACTTTTTCCCTCTTGTAAGGAACCCAGTGTGACTTGCATAGCTCCATTTTATCTTCCAAATCCCCAGACCAACACTCAAACCGACTCACCACACCTAGATTATAATGCTATTTTCCTTAATATGTACTTTTTTGCACAAATTTTTATAACAGAGAATTTTATTGCAACATTGAGAGATGCATGAGTTTTGAAGGATAAGTGAGCCTCGATTCTCACATCCACATTTATTAATCACCTTCAAGCTTCAGCAAGCTGATTAGCCTGATGAAACAGCGTAGGACCCTCACAACTAGCTTCCCCCAAAAGTCCAGTTTCTGAATTATTGCAATGGTGGAGTCTGCCTATGCAATACAAGATACAACTGCCAAAGCACACTTTGGTATTGCACTTAAGGAGAAACAAGAACGGAGGACATGATTTGGAAATGTACCTCGGTTTGTGGGAAATCATTTTCAGGTGCAATGATTTGCTTTTATCTAAGAAAATGGAACAGGAGAATGGACTATATAAATTCACTCTTAGGAAGTGAGGATGCTTTATCTTCAAAGCACTGTATCCCCTAATATTGAGCAGTATTGAATCAGACTCATCTTTACCAATGCTAATTAACCTTGTTGGATTCCAGTTCTCAAAGATATGTTAGAAAATAAATGCAATTGGTCTTTATCTTTAATAGATTATCTAGAGAGGTAAGTGCATGCAATAATAGTTAGAGATCAACAGGGATCCAGCCCAGGCCTACTCAGAAGTAAGGAAGGGTTACTTTTTGTTTGGTTTGCCAAAAAATCCGAGCATGCCCTTTTCAAATCCCTGAATGCAAGTCTGAGCACATGTCTAATGAAAATGTTCTCATACTGTTGAACATATGCATACATTTGTCTCTTTCCTGATTCCTAACTTAATCTGTCAGATTTGCTAATCTGTGCACATTTCTGAAGTAGACTGAATCAGTTCCACTGTCGACTATCACGGAAATTTAAGCAAATCTAACTTCTTCTCACTGCTCAGTTTGTGCAAGTTTCCCATTTGCACAAAGTGACTGGCAACTGTAAGAGTAAAGGGGAAGCAGGCACAGCAGAAATGGAGAGATTTTGATCAGGGAATCCTAGCAATCTAGAGTATTGCTCATTCTCCCATTTGTAAACAAAACGAAGCCCTGGTGAATTCAGCTGGGCTTCCTCTGAGGTTTCTCTTCTACATGCAATCTCTAGCTTCTTAGTGGCCAAGTGGCAAGCTGAACTCTTTCAGCAGTGTTGCACCATGCTGGCATGACCCCTACCATGGTGCACTTCTGCAGTCTTGGATGGAAGGATCTAATAACTCTGCTCTCCCTAGGAGCTTGTCCCACAGTAGGACAGAAGTACAGGCATCTGACTGTCCTTGGACCCCCCTTCTTAGGTTTCAAACCTTATTGACTCAATAGATTTGAGCGGGTTAGCAAAGTCTGCCACCTAGTGATCAATGGTAGCACTGCAGGCCTCAAATTCACAGACACACTGAAGGGCACAAGACCGCAAACCCCCAAATTCAGTGCTGTATGCTCATCCTGTGGGGACATAGGAGAAGCAGCAGAGGTGACCTTCATCTCCCCATCCTTGCACCATGTGTTTTCACCAAATGGGCTGCTTTGTCTGTCCAGAAACGTCATTTCAGAGGGAAGAATGAAGGAGGCAGCACTGGCTACAGGAGGAGTCCTATCCTTTCCCCATCTCAGTTGCCCTCTCCTTCATCTTTGATGTCATGTTCCCAACCCGGAGAGACAGCCATCACTGGTCTTTCCATGCTACCTGCAAGGCGGGCAGGCACAGATTGCAGATTTCCTGCTCTCAGGCTGGGGTACTGCCTCCAATCTTAGCTTGTGGACTCCATGGTATCCTCACTAGGGGGCATCAGATGGCTCCCTAAATCAATTAACATGAATCACCATGCTTCACAAACAAAGCACTCCTCCATGCACCCCCTCTGCCCCCTGAATGTATCCTGCCAAGATTCAAGTGCCTCAGTTTGGTGGTTTTGGCACAAGACACCAATCCTTTTCCAGTGTTATATATTAGAAAACAGCATCTAGTTTTGTCAATAGTGTAAGGGAAGCTATTACAGAAGGTGCTGAATAGACAGAGACCTGCAGAATAGCAACAGGGAAAAGTCATAATAGGACATTTTACAGATACTTGTGGGCTAGAGACGTATAGCATGATGCCATAGGAGGTATTCTCTGGGTTGTGGTCTTCTGGTGTTGTGTTTTCTGCTCTTTGTGTCCTGCTTCTGCGATGGAGTACTGAGGTTCATCAGATCCTATGTTCTGGATCAATGACATGGATAGAACAATCGTAGCTATTTCTTTTCCCCTTCTCATTGAAGTCAACAGCTATCACCAAAGGTGGTGGGCTTCCCTATAGGAAAGAGCCCTCATTAGCTTGCACCCTTGGTCATTGAAACGTGGGCTTCATCATCAGTGCAGCTGTGACTGGTGGGCTTTGGCAATGCTTCCAGAGAGGGCGGATGGTATGGATGACATTTCTGCAGCCATTTCAGAACTTTCAATTCAGGTGGTTTCCTGTTTCCTCCTGGAGTGAACATATATCACTCCAGGATGGGCAGCCTTCAGGTGTTTTGGTCTACAGCCCCATCAACCCTCAGCATAGGCTATGCTGGCTAGGGTCGATGGATGATAGAAGCTGTAGGCAGAACATCTTGGAGGGCCATAATTTAAGTACCTCAAAGGCTGTCACAAAGAGGAAGGTCCTGATCTCTTCTTGCTGGTACCAGAGTGTAGGACATGGAATAATCAATTCAAGTCGCAACAATTCAGGCTGGACATCAGGAAGAGCTTCCTCACTGTCAGAGCAATGCGGCAGTGGAACCAGCTGCCTGGAGAGGTGGTGGGTGCTCCCACATGAGAGGCATTCAGAAAGAAACTGGGCAGCCCTCTGAGTGGGACGGTGTGACTTGGTGTCTTACACCAGCAGGGGGTTGGACCCGATGGCCTCCGTGGCCCCTTCCAACTCTACTGTTCTATGAGTCTATGAATTTCTCTATGCAAGATCTAGAGCAGCAGTCCTCAGACTTTTTCAGTAGGGGGCCAGGTGAAAGACTGTGGTGACTGTCGCGGGCCAGTGAGGTGGGGGCACCTGGGGACGTGTGCCGGTGAGGTGCCCTCAGGTGTGCACGTGGTGGTATCGGGTGCACGCGAGGCAGCATCGGGTGCATGCAGCGGTGGCTCGCTCGCTCGGAGATCTCCCAGCAAGTCCAAAACCATCTCCGAGCGAGCAAGCCACCGCCTCCCTGGCTGCACAGCAAGCGCGTGTGCGGGCGGCGAGCTGCGGCACGGGCCAGATGGTTTGAGGTGGGCTGGATCCGTCCCGTGGGCCATAGTTTGAGGTCCCATGCTCTAGAGGAAGCACTGGCCATTCCATCAGTGAGATGATGGGATAGCTGGCCCCCCATAATTGGAGTACACCCCGTTATGAACATGAAGTATCGTATTTCTGATGTTGTTAAACCCCTATCTGAGATCCTCAACCTTACTGCAAAATAGAAATGTGTCCCTATAATCCATAATCAATGAAAATCTTGATTTCAAGTGAGGCTTTTGTGGTTGTTCATGACATTATGTTCTGGGAAGTAATTACATATTAATGGGCCTTTTAAGGCTTGTTCATCTAAGAGGAAAATTATAATTTTCATGTAATATTTTCCCACATGCTGCATTGATTCAAAGACTGCTGTTCTTTCTTGATGATAGCCTATGATCACTGGAAAATGTACATTCAGTAGTACAATAAAAAGAACATGACTTGCTTGTTTGTTTGCTGTTTATTCATCTCTACTCATTATTTAAGCCTTCAACACTGGCAAGAATACTTGTAATATTTTACTTCAATGGCAATTTTCTTTCTAGAGTGCACGACATCAGCATTGGCAAAACATTACAGAGCAGAATCAAATCATTTTCAGATCTGTTTAAAATTATTGTTCAATAGAATTAAAGGTGGAGGTGGCAGGAAATACATACCCTGAAGGAGATCGCAGTGGAAAACTCCTTGAGAGTGCATGGATTGCTTTATTTAGAGAAAAGATTTCAGATGTTTTCTGAAACTGGGGAGAGAGTGGCAGAGATGGGGGGAGAGAAAGCCTCTCACTGGAGTTGCAATGGGCTTTAGTGGGGCCAAACTTTTTAAAATTCGGTTTTAGATAAATAAAAACCACTTAAAAATGGAAAATTACTAGCAGGGGGTAGTTTCTATGCTTAATGTTCTTGGGGTGCCTTGCTATGCATGTTTAACCAGGAAAATTCCTGCAACTCCTGGCACTTCCTAGCCAGTCATGCTGCCTGGGTACTGCTGAGAGTTGCGTGCCTTTTAATCCCGAAACCTTCATAGGATTGTGCCCTTAAACAACCAGGGATGGTGCAAGAAGGGTTTGTGGGCTTCATGATTCCACTCCTCACCTCCATCACACCAGGAAGACAACCCCTGGTATGTTACTGGCATGCACTTAGAACTCTTCCACATGAACCCAGCTCTGGGTGCAATCAGGGTTGCTTATTCCCATGGGGGATCCCTGAA